TTGTACTGGTGTTCAGTTTAGGCAGGTTTCACTGTACTGGTGTTCAGCTTAGACAGGTTTCACTGTATTGATGTTCAGTTTAGATAGGTTTCACTGTACTGGTGTTCAGTTTAGACAGGTTCCACTGTACTGGTGTTTGGTTTCGACAGGTTTCACTGTACTGGTGTTCAGCTTAGACAGGTTTCACTGTACTTGTATTCAGCTTAGACAGGTTTCACTGTATGGATGTTCAGTTAGCAGGTTTCATTGTACTGGTGTTCAGTTTACAGGTTTCACTGTACTGGTGTTCAGCTTAGACAGGTTTCACTGTATTGATGTTCAGTTTAGATAGGTTTCACTGTACTGGTGTTCAGTTTAGACAGGTTCCACTGTACTGGTGTTTGGTTTAGACAGGTTTCACTGTACTTGTGTTTTGTTTAGACAGGTTTCACTGTATTGGTGTTCGGTTTAGACAGGTTTCACTGTACTGGTGTTCAGTTTAGACAGGTTTCACTGTACTGGAGTTGGTTTAGACAGATTTCACTGTACTGGCGTTCAGTTTAAATAGGTTTCACTATACTGGTGTTTGGTTTCGACAGGTTTCACTATACTGGTGTTCAGTTTAGACAGGTTTCACTGTACTGGTGTTTGGTTTAGACAGGTTTCACTGTACTGGAGTTTGGTTTAGACAGGTTTCACTGTGCTTGTGTTCAGTTTAGACAGATTTCACTGTACTGGTGTTTGGTTTAGACAGGTTTCACTGTACTGGTGTTCAGTTTAGATAGGTTTCACTGTACTGGAGTTTGGTTTAGACAGGTTTCACTGTACTGGTGTTTGGTTTAGACAGATTTAACTGTACTGGTGTTCAGCTTAGACAGGTTTCACTGTACTGGTGTTCAGTTTAGATAGGTTTCACTGTACTGGAGTTTGGTTTAGACAGGTTTCACTGTACTGGTGTTCGGTTTAGACAGATTTCACTGTACTGGTGTTTGGTTTAGACAGGTTTCACTGTACTGGTGTTTGGTTTAGACAGGTTTCACTGTACTGGTGTTTGGTTTAGACAGGTTTCACTGTACTGGTGTTTAGATAGGTTTCACTGTTCTGTACTGGCTTGAGGGGGTTATGTATAAGACCTAAAGAGATACATACCTGGATAGAAATTATTATCCATATCCAAACCTCCAGCTATAGAATATCCAAATGTATACAAGTCACTACTTATAGTAGATGCCATAATCACCTGGAATAGTTCAAGAAAAGTGATTTATTATTCAATTTCAGATTTTTATTTGGTTGCATTGTACTCTACAGCTAATGGAAGTGGGAGTGCACTGAATTGACCTGAAGGTGTTCCTAAAACTGAGAGTAATTTATACTGGAATTAGTAGAATGTGAAACTGTTATCTTTCAGGCACAAAACTAAAATGTCTAGTCAAATTATTGTTATTTTTATCTTGTAGAGAAATCCTCACACAGCTTTCACATGACTTGAAGAAGCACAATTTCCAGGCAAACAATTTCTAAAAATGCTTAGAATGATTGAAATTGTACAGGACCA